TTTTAACATTGGATACATTGAAGGGTATTTTTGAACAATGAACACAGAAGTTAATTTTAAGATTGTCTGCCATTGTAGACAAACAATTTTAAAAGAGGAAGTGTATCTATCTTTACCAGTCAAAACAGACTGATCTACAAGTGGATTTAAAAATTACAAGCAATGTGAATGACATGGGGAAAGATGTAATACCTATCATATACATGGAACCAGCTAATATCTTAATAACTAAAAGGAATATAAAATGGCTGACCAAAAGAGTGACTTAGATAACTTTTTTATATTGGATTTAAGAAATGATCAGAAAGATTTTGTGAGAAGAAAGAAAAAAAAGTTTTAGGACATTATTTGAAGGCAGATTAAAATTATTAAAACTTAAAGGAAAAATATAAAGCATCATCAAGGTTAAAATATGTTGTTATTTCTGGTGACCCTAAATGGGACTTTTGTTGACTAGGACTGAGTGACAAGATTTTAAAAATCAGTTTTAAAAATAAGAAATGAAATAAGGAATGAAGAGATAGATTGTTACATTTTAAGAAAAGGTGATAAATTGTTCAAATTATTTGTACTTGTGACAAAGGAGTCACTTCTTTAAATATTTTTTTTCTTTGCTATATTATTTTTTCTTTAACTTTTTCTATACTACTTTTCTTTTTTTCCTTAACTTTCTACTTTCTTCCTTTTATTTTTGTAGTTTGTATTTTTATCCATTCAACTATAATTTTTAATAAAAGCATTGTTAAAAAAAATCATCCCCCCCCCCAAAAAAAGTTGGGATCTTTGGAAAAGCTTAAGCGATGCTCAGCATCAAATCTGTCTTTCACAATTTTTAGCCTTAAAATAAATAAAAATACTATTTCACTATTAAAAGCTGTTGAATGAACTATAGATTGCCATCCATCTATTCAAGGTGCAAGAACATTTGGCTGGGCTGGGCACTAACAACTTGCCAAATACCATTCTGTTGCTTTCAGTCTTAATCAATTTTATTGCTTCTGCAACAAAGAAACCCTCTGGAACTCAGCCACATTTTCTAACAATGAACGTTCCATTTCTCTATTTGTATTCAGAGACACCTAAATATATTGAATCAGGAATCTCAGAAATACAAAGTAATTCACAAATTTACTATGATGTTGTTTTAAAGTGACCTTTTTGAATTTGAATATTTAATTTGATGAACTGCGTTTAAAATGGTTTTACCACCAGAAACCAGTTCCTAGGCTGCAATTTCAATGATGGGATTGAAAGACTAATTTTACAATTTTGACATATGCAGCTTATTTAATTATCAATTTTCTCTTTTGAAAAAGTATATGATATAGATAAGTATTAAAAAGTCTATTTTGTAAGCTACTTTACAACCATTTAAAGCTTTTCTGGTATGAATAATCTTTTTTAAATGATCTGAAAGCAGTATGAATGTTCAGGAATTTACCCAGTTGATTTGATATCATCATTGCTTCATCTGAAAGAAGCTGAGTGATATGTGTTTGGAAGTCTGAAGTTGAAATGAGACTATGAAAAAAGGTATCAGTAGCACAGAGCTAGCATTTTGGGAATGCTATGACCTCGACCTAGTGCTGGATTTTTGCAGCTCAGATATTGTAATTCTATAGAGAAAACCTATGTTTGCACAACTATATGTAAAAAAACCCACCACATTTTAAACAAGGAAACAATTTGCAATAAATGATGCAACATCTGCCAAAGGCAGCATCCATGTTTAAGGGCGGTGGTGGACCCAGAAAAAACAATTCTTGCTGAATTGTGGAATAAAATATTCTTTTCAATTAGAATATTAGAAGGGCAGATACAAGTTAAAATTTTGTTGCTTATCAATTTGGAATCCATTACTACAAATAAAATACCCTTTTTGTATACCAACTCCTCTATATGTGAAATATATTAATTTATAAATTAAAATATAATAAACACAATTTCTTTTCAGTGGACTTAATTCGATTATAGAATGACTTTTCAGTTGGGTGAATAAATGGAATAGTTATGCTGGATTGATGACCCATAATAAAAGTTTGGCTTGATTTGATTGGATATGAGTGGGATGTGAGATTGAAATACTTTCCTTTGGATATATTAATGGAGGTTTCAGTATGGGGGCAAGGAAAAATAACATTTTTCTTTAAAAAAAAAAAAACAATCTATCAACAGCCATTAAGTAGTGATGAAATGTATAGGTTCTGATCTGAAACAGTGGAGAAGATCTCAGCAAGATGGAAAGGAAAAGGAAAGAAATCTCTTTTTTTCCTACACTATTGAGCATTGAATAGGTTATAAAAGCATGCTCTTTCAAGGTTGAAAAGGTTACCCACAATAGACTATTACATAATGGGGAACCACAAGGTTGCCCACTTAAAATGTACTTGATCCTATGACCTCAAAGGGTGGTTGCATGATAAACTGTACATTTTCTTCTGACTTAAATTTGTCTCATTATTAAACTATTTGTTTTACAATTTTCTTTTTAATATGAAGTGATATTCCATTAAATAGTTAATATTAAACACATCTCTTTTTAAATGTATTCCTTAATTATATGAGTGGTTGGAACAGGATGAAATCTTCTGTTTTGCTATAACCAAAATAAGACTATTGTCTTTATTTTGTTTGTTTGTTTCTTTTTTTCTTTCCAATCACCAACATCTGTCATCTTTGCTCTGAGCAAAATAGATGGGGAAGTAACACGAAAGATTATTCTTCTTTGATTACCCAATTTGTCTTAATTACAAGGTTCTCAAACGTGCAGCTAAATAAATGAGCAGGAAAACATTTAGGCAATAGTATTAAAAGCAGCTGAAGCTGCCTCAGCTGTGAACTTGACTGACTTCTGTGTATTTTAATAAAGATTCAGGATGGAGTTCACACATAGGTGGTTGAGGAAATGAGACACTTGTGTGCCAATCATTCTGAAATGGCAGTTTAAATCTGTAATACTATAGTACTTGTGTGACATGTACTAAAACATTTTGAGAAGGTCACTATGAAGCAAGCAGCCAGCTGTTGGGTTTATCATAGATAAACTCCTACAAAGTGCAGCAGCATTTAATACACCAGTGGAGCATGAAAAAACTGTGCAAATTAAATTGAGAAGCAGCTGTGGTTGAAGATGTGTATCTTTATATTGAACTCCTCAGGGTGCAATGGTGAGGTTGCATTAAAACATTCTATCAAAAATCTCCAGCCAAACCCTTGCCTTTTAAACTAAAATAATTGAAGATAATGTGAAGGTGGCCTATTATTTCCCTCTATTTTCCCACAACTGGTTTTCCTGTGTAATACATCAGTGGAAATTTTTTTTAAAAAATTGAAAAGACCTCATGATCTTTTTAATGAATTAACTATTTAATGAGTTAATATTTTATTTTTGCATGAATGTTTTCTGTAAATAATTGCTCTATATTTCTATTATTTTTTCCTTTTTTTCATAGAAAACACATTAAAATGGCAAGTTTTCATGTGGCAAAAATAGTTGCGGATGTAAGAAATTTTGTGTAGTTTGAAATTATTTTCAATTCTGCTTGGCACATATTTTAACAAAATCTGATTTAATATATACACAAACTTGCATAGAGTGTTCTTGGATATCATTGTTTCATGATTTTACAATATATATCTATTTTTTAGATGCTGTTAACAGATGACATTTATTAGACACAAAGGATAATCTTGATGGGTTGCAGTCCTTGGGCAAATGTATAGAAGAAAAAGCAAAACAATGTAGATGAAGCCTCTGGGATTGTACAGACGTTAGAACAAACCTAAAATTCTGCTGATAGCGTAGTGTAGATAGTTGAGAAAAGTTCACAGTGGTTCGCAGTGGGGCCGCATGCTCTTTTGCGCATGCGCAGAAGCATTTTGATGATGTCGGGGTCAGTGAGCGGATCCTCCCGCCGGTTTTACTACCGGTTCTATAGAATCGAGGCAACCTACCACTGAGTGAATTTATTTTTAAGATTGCATCAGAAATAATTATTTTCAAGCTCGAAGAGGCTGATCAAATAAATATGATATAGCAAAAAGGTTAGAAAATTATGATATAAATTTCAGTTATTTAATTGTGTCCTTGTGCTTTTAATGTTCATCTGAAGTCATAAGGACTCCTGCTTAGTGGTAGCTTCTAAGCAGAGAGAACCCAGTCAGAACAGTTATATTTTGACAATTGCCAGTGCAGATTATCACAATGGAATCTTCATAGGGCTGTTCTCAAAAGCAATTTGGAAGTTGCAATTTAGAGAGATGTTAAAGAAGATTTCAATATTTGAGGGAGGGCCTTTTTTGGTATATAATTGCCCTAGAATTACAACCTGTCAAGAAGATTGCCCTTTGCATCTCAGCATAGTAAAGAAATGGAATATAGGGCGTTCTTGGCCAGGATGATCCATTAATGAAAGATCTTTTAGAGATTTAACAGCAATGCATCGATTACTTACTTAAGCCATTATCTGTAGTGATTATAGGTTAATTATGGTATATTTTGCTTATTAGATTATCAATGTGCTTCTATATTTCTAATGCATGGATGAATTGCAAGTTATTTTCTTTCATGCTAAGATCTGTTTTTGTAGGATGAGAGAAATATTTTATTTTTATTAAATATTTTATTTAATAACTAGAAATTTAGTGAATTCTTATCTGCACATATTCCAATTATCTATACAGAAGCTTGCAATATAGGGAATGCAGGTTTTCAAAGGAATGCAGAAAATATAACTTTTTATTTTAACCTAAGAAATTCAAGAATGTATGTAAAATGCTTCCACTTCATTAATTGCAATTTAAAACATATTCTTGTGCTAATACTCCGGCTCTGTAGACAATACAATTATCAATTGGATCAATGCAACATTTTAATTTCTATCTTTTATTGTTCAGAGGTAAAAAAACTAATATTTCAATTTATGGCACAATCTTTCCTTTTACTGTTTTTCAGTTGAAAGCAAATGTAATAAAATGCACAATATCATTTTTTGTTATAGATGGGTCCATATTGTTTGTGCACTATATGTTCCCGGAGTGGCATTTGGAGATATTGACAAATTGCGACCAGTAACACTTACAGAAATGAACTATTCCAAGTATGGTGCAAAGGTAACATCAAAAGAGATATATTTTACTAACATGTAGACCGGTGGTGGGTTTCAGAAATTTTTACTACTGGTTCTGTGGGTGTGGCTTGTTTGGTGTGTCATGGCTTGGTGGACATTTCATGGCTTGATGGGCATGGCAAGGGAAGGATACTGTAAAATCTCCATTCCCTCCCAACCGAGGGAAAGGTTACTGCAAAATCCCCATTTCCTCCCGATCAGCTGGGACTTGGGAGGCAGAGAATAGATGGGGGGGAGCCAGTCAGAATTTTTACTATTGGTTCTCCGAACTACTCAAAAATTCCGCTACTGGTTCTCCAGAACTGGTCAGAACCTGCTGAAACCCACCTCTGATGTAGACTTTTATTATGTATTTATTTTGTTTGCTTCTATTCATTGCAACTAAGAAATGTACTGTAGATCAGTATAATGTTTTTTTTTAATTATTGTGAACCATATTTATATATGGAGATAAGAAACAATCATTGTTCATTGTTATTATGATATTCATATATTGTTATATAGAATAGCGTAGAGCAGAGCAGAGTAGAGCAGAGCTGGAAGAGACCTTGGAGGTCTTCTAGTCGATGCCCCTTCTCAAGCAGGAGAACCTATACTATTTCAGATAAGTAGCTGTCTACTCTCTTCTTAAAAATCTCCAGTGATAGAGCACCCATGATTTCTGAGAGCAAGCTATTCCACTGGTTAATTGTCCTCACTGTTAGGAAGTTTCTCCTTAATTCCAGGTTGCTTCTCTCTTTGGTTAGTTTCCAACCATTGTTTTTTGTCTTGCTCTCCGGTGCTTTGTAGAATAATTTGAGCCCTCTTTCTTTGTGGCAGCCCCTCAAATACTGGAATACTGCTATAGGGTCACCTCTGATTCTTCTTTTCTTTAGACTAGCCAAACCCAAATCCTGCAGCCATTCTTTATATGTTTTAGTCTCCAGGCCTTTGATCATCTTAGTTGGTCTTCTTTGAACTTTTTCCAAGGTCTCAACATTTTTTTTATAGTATGGTGACCCAATTTGGTTGCAGTATTCCAGGTGTGGTCTTACTAGTGTTTTATAAAATGGTACTAGTACTTCACATGGTCTTGATTTTATGCCTCTGTTTATTTCATATGGTTTATATTATCTTTGTTGGAATTGTAATTAAAAGTGAGGCAGAAAAGGAAATATCCAATTCTAATTCAATTTTATTTCAGAAATTTAAATAATTTATAATTTTTTCTGTTGAAAGTAGAGGGGGAAAAATCTATTTTAATTTGAACGTCCCATGATTTGTGCTGTTTATATTTCTCCATTTTTTTTTGTTTATTCTTTATCTTGTATAAGTTTGGATTCTTTAAAAGTATATTTTGAAAGCAGTAAAGATGCTTTAAAGCACACTCCATATATAGGTAGGTCCTTGCTTGACAACCATTCACCTGTAAAGCTTGCCTATACTTATAACCATAGGGATGCTTCAGCTATATCCACCTCTATCCATTTGACTGCCCTGAACAACAGAATTCCTCAACATTGAATATATTGAGGCTGAAGTAGAGGCCCAGGCTTTGAACAGTCTCATTGTGCCACCACCACCTCTGGGCATCTACATTGACCCCAGTGCCACTAATATCAAGGAGTGTCATCCCAGACCTGGCATCATGGTCAGCCACCACAGTTCAAAGTCCCAGCTACCCATATGCTGTACAGATGCTGCTCCCTCTAGATGACATTTGCTGTTTTTCTCCCCCTGCTGATGAAGTGCCTGGCTTGGCCTCCTGGCCACACCAGACATTCTTCGTCAGGTTGCTTATGCCTTTCTCCAATTCATGTACGCTGCTCTCATGGTTTGGAAAGCTTTAGAGGCTTTTGCATAAAGCCATACTGGATGCATCTTATCAGCAGCAGGGCGAAGTAAAGGTACCATATTTTTCGGAGTATAAGATGCATCGAATATAAGACGCAGCTTAGTTTTGGGTGAGGAAAAAAAAATCTGCCTACCAGGTATTCATCTGGTTAGTGTCCTTAGTCTGGGCATCTTCAGCACATTAGTTTGCTGCTTTTTTTATCCCCTACTTGGGGATAAGGCACAGCTGTTCTAAGGCACAGCTGAGAGGAAGCAGCAATGAGAAAAGCAGGCAAAGCATTGGGGGGGGGGAGCAGTGATCGCGTCAGTCGGCTAGCGCCTCGTTAGGGCTGAAAAAAAGCTTCTAAAGAACAGCTGAGAGTCAGAGCAAAGCATGGAGATAGCTTCACTTGCTAGCACCTGTTTAAAGCACAGCGGAGAGTCAGAGCAGGCAAAGCTGGGAAGATTGCTCACTAGTGCCTCGTTAGCACCTAGTTAGGGCTGAAAAAAAGCTTCGATAAAGCTACATTTAGAGTATAAGACTCACCCAAATTTTTAGCTTCTTTCAGGGGAGAAAAAGGTGCGTCTTATACTCCAAAAAATACGGTAAGTTGTACACAGCAGGGTGGTTGCTCTATGCACTAGGATGGCTTGCAGCAGGCTTGAGGTTCACTCCTTAGCAGCAGCAGAGCTTGGGCTAAAATAGAAGCCCAGGGGCAGTAGTATCTGGTGAGACTGCTGAAGATCCTAGACCTCTTTTTGGCCCCAGTGCTGCCTCTATTGCCAAGGAGTGTCATTGTGCAGGATATAACAGTATGTGGAAATAACTCTGAAAGACCGGAAGGCAAGTGGAGAGGTGCTCCCAGAACAATAGATAAAGGAAGACATAGCCCATAACTACATAATAGAAAAATAAAGAGACTTAGAAAGAAATCTTCCTAACTTTTCAAATTGTAAAAGAGAGAGCAAGAGATGCATACAGTCGGACTTTCAAGATTCTATTATAATAAATTAGAATTAGTTCATCTACTCATATTTCCTGTCTGGTCTACCTGGGAAGTCTGACAAGGGTAGCTAAAATAGCAGATATGGAAAGAGAGGTAGTTGGGTGAGAGAGTTAAAGAGGAGACAGTCCCTCCCCTTACCAAGGCTCAGGGCTGGGAAGGACGTAGATGGAAACAACTTGGATCAGGGTAAGTGTTTGCCTAATGACTGGTGGGATTTTATTAACAATGGCAGTGGGGATTGTCATGATTGTGTCTCTAAGCAATGAAGTCATGTGACATTGCACTTTACAGCTGTATTACTTAGCAAAGGAAATTCCGGTCTCAATTACTGTGGTTAAATAATTACCTATAGTTAGTACCTATATGTCTGTTTTTCTAGTATTTATTCTATTGCTTTCTCTCACTGATCTGTGGCAGGAATGTAGTTTCTGTGAAGATCCTCGTTTTGCAAGAACTGGTGTTTGCATTAGCTGTGATGCTGGAATGTGTAGAGCTTATTTCCATGTGACTTGTGCTCAAAAAGAAGGCCTATTATCAGAAGCTGCAGCAGAGGAGGTAAGTAAGCTTGAGTATTCTAATGATTCAGTCTGAGGTGGGATCTGTTACCATTAAAAAATCAGATGAACATATTAAAATATCATACATAACAGCATTTATGTTTTGGTATCCTGAAGCCTCCTTAGATTTAAATGCAAGTAGTCTTGGTGAAAAAATATTTAGTGGCAAATAGCATACTTTTTAAAAAGTTAATTGGGATTTTTTCTTACATCATGATACAGGCATTGTCTGCCTTCCTCTTTTCCTTCTGTTTTCTTTGAAGAGAGGGCTGTTTTTGATAGAAAGAATTTCTCCTGCAATTGTTTTATACTAAAAACAACTGTAAGTAGGTTGATTATGACCTTCAGCTCTATTACAGTTGAGTGCTTCTCTAATCAAATAACAAAGTGTTCAGATGCCCCATGCCATCCATCATTTTTGTCTGATATTTTGTCAGATAATAATCTATTGGTTGTTGTTATATCTGTTTAAAACTAAAAAGATGCTTTTGGTTGCAAAATACTTATCAATTAAGTTATCCGTGTACTGACAAATAAAACTATACTTATTTATGTGTACATAAAATCAATATTTTTTAAGCTTATAATTTTTCAGAAGTTGATAAGGTTTTTCAATTTGACTTGCCTTCATTAAAAAAATGAACATGAGTTTTGAATGAAGGGAAATATAGGTGTCAGAGTAATGTTGCAGAATCCAATCTGAATCAGTCACTGGGATCAGAGGTTTATTCTACCAAGCCTTCAGATTTGTCCTGGAACCCATTCTCAGGAAACTTCCCATTCTCCTGAATATTGGGGTATTCTGAACTGCACTGTGGATTTAGTTTCGCAGCCAGTAATGTTGTCTTTGAGCAGAGACAAAAATAGCCAAAAGACAAAAATTGAAATGATTGAAGCCTGGTGGCTGGATTGAAGCCCCTTGTCAGTCAACAGGAGTGCTGATTTACCTTACCAGGTACTTAGGAGCCAAGGGCATGGCAGCACAAGGAAACAAAAATCAACAATTTAACAGCCAGCTATCAACACCCTGATTAATAATTAAAAGCTACACACAATCAGGCACCACATAAAAACTATGCATAAACAGCCCAGTGCACACATTCTGGAGAGTGAGAAGTTTCCTGAGAATGGTTCTAGCATGAGTTCAAAAGCTGGAAGAATAAATCTCTGATTCCAATGACCTACTCAGATTGGATCCTGGAACATGAGTTGCTTATACTATGATTGAATAAAACTGTTTTAGAAGCTTTAATGCTCTTTTCTGGATCATGATGTCCTGCACTCAGTCACTCATGCCCTGCTAATTTCCTGCTTGGATTACTGCAACTCTCTCCACATCAAGCTCCCTTGAAGAGTGTTCAGAAGCTATAATAGATCCAGAATTGCACAACAAGGATACTTTTGGAAGCCCCTAGAGTAGTACATGTAACAGTCTGCGATCTGTTCCCAGATGCAATTCAAGATGTTGGTTATTACCTTTAAAGCTCTTATGGCATGGGTCCAGGGTATATATAGAACCCTTTTTCCACAAGGGAATCAGCCTGCCCTACCTGTGCCGACAGAAAGAGCTTACTGTGGATGCTCTCAGCCAAGGAATTCCAGAATTCCATGACAGAAACCTGTCCAGAATGCCTGTACAGAAATCCAGGTATTTCTGCCATGATTCCCCTCCTTTGGAACATCTTACCACAGAAGGTAAGATCTGCCCCTCTTTTTTAGCCTTCAGGAAAAACTTAAACCTAGATAGGCCAACTGGCACGGGGTCTTGATGGAAAAGCTGTTGGCTGAATGTGATTGGTGCGCTAACAAAGAAAGCACCTCTAACTGTCCCCACCAAACTCAAGTTTATTACCAGTAGTCTGTTTTAATATAATTTTTAATCTGTTGTTATATTTATAATTGTTTTGATATTTATATATGGTTTGGATATTTGTATATTTTCTCTTATTGTAAGCCACTCAGAGTCACTTCAAACTGTAAGATGAATGGCAAATAAAATTGATAAAAAGTATTCTTCATTTTTGTTTCATTGCCTTAGGATATTGCAGATCCGTTCTTTGCTTACTGTAAACAACATGCTGACAGAATGGATAGAAAATGGAAGCGTAAGAACTATTTGGCTTTACAGTCCTACTGTAAAATGTCTTTGCAAGAAAGAGAAAAACAACTTTCTCCCGAAGCTCAGGTATTATTATAGTTTATTTGTATTTGGTACAAGCTTCTGAATGGTACAACAAAATTAAATGAAACAAGCATTTCTGGAAACACTGATTCTCAAATATTTTGTTTACCTGTTTGCATACAGTGTAACATTTTTGTTGACTTAAATTAACATCTCGTTTCTCAGCTATTTCAGTTTCCATGAATCCACATCTTTATTCTATTGAAGTTGAGATAATGGAGACCATGATATGACCAAATTAACTAATGAAATCATAGTATTTATTTTTAAAAGATGAAATAGCAAAGAAATCCCAAGAAATGACTTTCCTTTTTGCAAAGAAATGGATGAAAATAAGAATTATAATTCAGATAAATAAGTGATTTACATTGTCATTTTGCATATATGCTGATAATATTTTATCTGGTTATGATTGATGAGAGACACATCTTGTGATTATACAGATAGTTCTTAATTTATGAGCATTTGTTAAGCAACTGTTTGAAGTTACAACACTGAAAAATGTGACTTATGATGCATTTTTGCCTTCCACAGTTTCTCTATGGTCACGTGATCAAAATTAAGGTCTTTTGGCAACTGACTTAACATTATAACAGTTGAAGCATTCCAATATCATATGATCACTATTTGTGACATTCCCAGTTGGCTTCTCACAGTCAGTGGGGAAGACAGCAGGAAAGGTCAGAAGTTGCAGTGATGTGATATCTTGTTAATAAACTACTTAACAATAAATTGTTTCATAAAAATTATGGTCTTAAGTGAAAGACTATATGTAATGATTAAGCTTAATGATTAGCATAATGCTATAAAAGATATTAAAGATATGATCCTCTGCACATGTCCAAGATGGCTGCTCTCAGCTGAGCGGCGGTGATGCCAGGGGGAATATTCCCGGCTTTTGGGGGTCTCAGAGGCCGGACTAGCTGATTATGCCCCATGCCCGGTGAGGGGAGCTTTTCACCGACCTCTTTGTCATCTTGTGAGCTTGTTGCTCCACAGGACATGACGGCCAGGACGAGAAAGTGGAGTGGAGAGCGGAGGCTGCTATGCTGCGGTTTTGCAGCCGGGTGAGAGCAGCCTCGGCGTCTCCCCACGGTCGCTGGGCTGGTGGAGCGTCGGCTACGGCGATGCTGCCCTCTGCTGACGCTCCAGGGGAGGCCGTGGGGATGGCGGGAGTTCCTGCGAGACCCAACGGTCGATGGAGGCAACTTTGGAGGGCTGGCGACGCCGGAGGGTTGTGTGGGTTTGGGGGTTAACCCACGGCGGGAGGGATCTGGCCCAGCTGCCAGTCGGGCCACGGAGGGTGCGGATTCCGGGGGTAAGGGGGGCATCAGAGTTTATTCTGCCGAGGGCTTTACCATCACTATGCTGAGTGGGAGGGGCAGATACAATGGGAGCAGGGGACCATATCACGTGGGGGCGCGTGCTCGCTACCTTAGAGCAGTGGCACGCCCCGGTCCCCATAGCCCTTCTCATTCCCCAGGCTGTTCAGACTTTCAGGGCCCGAGCCTTCGGCTGTTGTTGTGCAATGCCAGGTCTGTGGTAAATAAAGCCCCCCTCATCTGTGATCTTATTTAGGAGGGGGGAGCGGACCTGGCAGGCATTACGGAGACCTGGTTGGGCCAGGAAGGGGGAGTTCGCTTTGTAGATATGTGCCCACCAGGCTTCCACGCATTCCACCAGCCGAGAGCTCAGGGCAGGGGTAGGGGGGGTGGCGGTTCTTATAAAGGAAGGTCTTGATCCAAGGGGACTACTGTTCCACAGATAGCCGGATGTGAGTCCTTTCTTGTGAAGTGGGGCCGTGGAGTGCAGATGGGTTTGTTGATCACGTACCTGGCTCCCTGCCGCGTGGCAAGGACCCTGCCTGAGCTGCTTAACGTCATAGCTGAGGTGGCAGTTGATACCCCCAGACTTTTGGTCATGGGGGATTTCAACCTGCCATCTATCGGTGAAACATCTGAGGTGGCTCGGGAGTTCATGGCTTCCATGACGGCCATGGACCTGACTCAGTTAATTCATGGCCCTACTCACTTGGGTGGGCACACTCTGGACTTAGTTTTTATCTCTGGTCAATGGTCGAGTGGCCTTGATACAGGGGATATAGTCATCGAACCCTTGTCATGGTCTGACCACTCTCTCCTTCAACTTGACTTTCTAACCTCTGCACCCCGCTGCAGGGAGGCGGGACCGACTAGGTGGTTCTGCCCCAGGCGCCTGATGGATCCTGATAGGTTCCAGATGGAGCTTGGGTCATTCCCCGAGACTCTGGCTCATGACTCGGCTGAAGACCTGGTGACCGCCTGGGATAGTGCGACCGCTGGGGCTTTGGACCGCGTCGTGCCTTTGCGGCCTCTAACCCAGCACCAAACTCACCTAGCTCCTTGGTTCTCCAAGGAGCTGAGGGAGATGAAGCGCCAGAAAAGATGCCTGGAGAGCGGCTGGAGGACAAGCCGTTCCGAATCCGACCGAATGCTGGTGAGGTCTCATGTTAAGACCTACCTAGTGGCAATAAAAGCGACAAAATCTAGCTATTTTGCCACCCTTATTGAGTCATCAGATAATCGCCCAGCCGCCCTGTTTAGGGTGACCCGCTCTCTCCTCCATCTGGGAGCGCGGAATGATCCCTTGTAGGGTTGAGCTGAGGTTTTTGTGCAGTATCTGCATAACAAGATTGCTCAGATTCAGGAAGGCCTAGCCTCTGACTGGGTAAGTCCAGACGGGATGACTGAGGCAGGTCTTGAGAGTGTTATCTGGGAGGAGTTGGATCCTGTGGCTCCTGAGGACGTGGACAGGATTCTGGGACGGCTGAACGCGACCACAGGTTTATTGGATCCGTGTCCTTCCTGGTTCGTGCTGGCTTCCCGGGATTATGCTGGCTCCAGAGGATTATTAATGTTTCCTTGAGCGAGGGTGTCCTGCCGGCCGCCTTGAAAGAGGCGGTGGTGAGGCCCCTCATGAAGAAGCCCTCTCTGGGTCCGGCTGTTTTGGCTAATTATCGTCCAGTCTCCAACCTTCGTTTTATTGCGAAGGTTGTTGAGAGTGTGGTGGCCCGGCAGCTTCCACAGTACCAAGATGAAGCTGTCTATCTAGATCCGCTCCAATCCGGCTTCAGGCCTGGGCACAGCAAAGAAACGGCATTGGTCGCGTTGGTGGATGATCTCTGGAGGGCTCGGGATAGGGGTTGTTCCTCTATCCTGGTCCTGTTAGATCTCTCAGCGGCTTTTGATACCATCGACCATGGTATCATGTTGCGCCGGTTGGAGGGGCTGGGAGTGGGGGGCACCGTTTTGCGGTGGTTCTCCTACTTCTCTGACCGGTCGCAATCTGTGTTGGCAGAGGGGCAGCGGTCGACCCCGAGGCGCCTTGTTTGTGGGGTGCCGCAAGGGTCAGTCCTCTCGCCCCTTCTGTTCAACATGTATGTAAAGCTGCTGGGTGAGATCATCCGTGGCTTTGGGGTGGAGTTCCATCAGTACGCTGATGACACTCAGGTGTACATCTCCACCCCAAGCCACCCCAACGATGCCCTTGAAGTGATGTCCCTGTGCCTGTAGGCCGTGCGGGCCTGGATGGGGAGAAACAGGCTCCGACTCAACCCTTCCAAGACCGAGTGGCTGTGGCTTCCGGCGTCCTGATATAGCCAGCTGGTGCCATCGCTGGTTATTGGGCGCGAATCATTGGCCCACACAGAAAGGGCTCGCAACTTGGGCGTCCTCCTGGATACACGGCTGTCTTTAGAAGAGCATATGACGGCCGTGGCCAGGGGGGCTTTTAATCAGGTTCACCTGATACGCCAGTTGCATCCCTTTCTAGATCGGGACTCCCTACGCATGGTCACTCAAGCACTCGTCACTTCCCGTCTGGACTATTGCAATGCTCTCTACATGGGGCTCCCCTTGGGGTGCACCCAGAGGCTCCAGTTGGTCCAGAATGCGGCCGCGCAAGGGGTTATGGGAGCGGTGGGGCGCTCCCATGTGACACCTCTCCTGCGCGAGCTGCACTGGCTTCTTGTGGTCTTCAGGGTCCGCTTCAAGGTGTTGGTGACCACCTTTAAAGCGCTCCAGGGCTTAGGGCCGGGGTATTTACGAGACCGCCTTCTGCCACCAATAGCCTCCCACCGGCCAGTACGCTCCCACAGGGTCAGTCAGACAATGTCGGCTGGTGACCCCCCAGAGGGAGAGCCTTCTCTGTGGCGGCACCTGCCCTCTGGAACGACCTACCCCCAGAGATACACATGATACCAGACCTCTGGACTTTTCGTCGGGCCCTGAAAACACATCTTTTTCACCTAGCCGGGCTGGCTTGATCCCATCCCTTTGGTTTTAATTTATAATTGGTTTTTAATCTGAGTTGTTTTAAATGGATAGCCAAAATTATTTAATATTTTTTAAACTGTTTTTAAATTTTATATGTTATGTTTTACCATTGCTGTTCACCGCCCTGAGTCCTGTTGGAGAAGGGTGGTATACAAATTAATTAATTAATTAATTAAATAAATAAATAAATAAATAAATAAATAAATAAATAAATAAATAAATATAAATGCATGGCCACAAGATTTAATTATGCTGTCAATTTGGATGCAATAAAAATAACTTAGAGATCGGAAGATTTGTCTATGGCAACTGATTCTGGTGATTATATTTTATTTTCATAATCAGAAGCAATATTCCTCTGAAAGGTGGTTGTTGAGTAAAACATAGAAGAAAATCAATACTTTCATGTCCTGCTGGTGAATTTCCTTTATGGATCAAATTGACTAGCAGAGCTCTTCTTATGTGCTATGAGTTGGAAAATTCCAAATTGCTTTTGAAGAAAAACAGATTATGAAGAAAATAGATTCCATTATCAGACTTTTTAGGTTTCTGGCTTGCACGATGGGATAACATGCTCTTGAATAATACAGGATCACGGTATACAGAGTAGTCCATTAAGACTCTCTTGATAATTCATTTAGCGTGTATTAAGCACAATTTGTCTTTGCTACACTATAAATGTATAGTTTTTAAAATAAGATGAATTTTCTTTTTTTTTCCCCCTTGATTTTGTATGCTACAATGTTTGATTTTGTGATATAGGCTCGAATTAATGCCAGACTTCAGCAGTACCGTGCCAAAGCAGAATTAGCACGCACCACAAGACCACAAGCATGGGTTCCAAGAGAAAAACTGCCACGGCCACTCACTAGCAGCGCTTCAGCAATACGTAAGCTCATGCGTAAAGCTGAATTAATGGGCATTAGTACAGACATCTTTCCTGTTGATACTTCAGATACCAGTTCCAGTGTAGATGGAAGACGAAAGCATAAACAACCAGCATTGACTGCTGATTTTGTGAATTATTATCTTGGTAAGTCTGAAATACTCAAATTCAATTTTTGAAGCTACATTTTGCTTCAAATAATTCTTGGTTAGAAGTAAAGCAGGATGCAATGGCAGGACTGATAAGTAATGTCTTCTGTTGCAATTCACTTAATTTAATTTTGTTTTCAGAAAATGTTAGATTTTTATACGACTCCTGTCTCTCTCAAGCAACCAAGAAAAAAACTTAACTTTGGAAGAAATATTTTCTCTTCACTTTCTCCTTCCTAATATGCTTCAAATTGAATTTTCTTTTCTTTGTGATTAGAGGGACTGAGACCTTTCAAGGTTTATCTCCCCTTCCCCTCCTTATCCCCCAGTGCAGTTATGGTAGCACTCATGAGCAGCTTTTATCACTCTAGATGATTAGCTCCATTGTTTAATAGACAATTGGATAATATCAATCTGCTATGAAAGGGCTTCAGGAGGCCTTAGTTTAGTTCAGATCAGAGGTGGTATTCAACCTGTTCGCACCGGTTTGTGTGAACCGTTGACAGAAATTTGGCCAAGGTTGCCGAACCAGTAGCAATGGTGAGCTGGCCACACCCCCGAACCAGTCCCCCAGTCACTCCTCACTCACCCCGCCTGCCATGTTGATTGCCACCATGTTCTTCGCACATGTGCATCCCATTGCCTTGCAAGTCCAATGGGATGTGCATGCACAAAGAACATGACGACGATAGTAACTTTTTCTGTGATCTTTTTTTCTGGTACTTTTCAGCAGCCAGCTGCCGCAGCTGCAAAACAACTCTCAAAGAGGCTTCTCGAGCATCCTTTCTTGGTGCTGGAGACTATTGAGGTTTGGGCAATAGGTTAAAACTGAGCCCTGTAAGATGGAGTGTGTGTCAATTGCACCCATTCCTGGACCATAATATACTTTTCACACTCACCCATTCTGTGGTAATCTCCTTTTCACTATTGTAATGTGAGGTGCCCTTGAAAAGGATCTGGAAGCTTCAGTTGATTCAAATACAGGAGCCCACACAGTTTTGTGAAAGCCCTAATTTACACATGTGCCAGCTGTTGCAGGAGCTTGTGGCTTGTGATTTGCTTCCAGATTCAATTCAAGGTGCTAGTTATCACCTTTAAAAGCCTACATGGGCGTGAGGATTTTCACTTTTAGTCACTATGAATGATATATAGGTTCATGTATAGGATCTTGGATAACTTTTTACTATTTGAATTTGTCTGCTAATTGAAGGTGCTACTATGGGAAACTGGTTTTGTGCAATCCTTGTATCTACTAGAAAAATGGTGAAATAGGGCCTCTCTTTGTAAGGAAAGAAATTAGTTTTTGTCAAAAAGAATACGGTTTGGATTGAACCTTTTCTATAACCATCAGCTTCGATTGATGCATTTATTAATTGCAAAATACAGGTGGCCTTTGTTTAAGGACTACATATTCAGTGATCATTTAGACTTACAATGGCACTGAATAAGTGACAATCGTGACTAGTCCTTGTATTTAAGAATCATTGCAGTCACATGATCATAATTTCTGACCTTCCCTGCCATGTTCCAGCAAGCAAAACCAATGGGGAATCCAACAAGATGTCAAAACTTGTGGTAATGTGTGGTCATCACTTAATGACCTACATGGTCCTCATTTAACAACAAGATGGACTATTAGAACTAGTGTTGCTAAGTGGCATGATTAACTGGTTTTTCAGTATGGAGTTCCATCAAAATGGAACATTTTTAAAATACTTTAAAATACTTCTAGAATTTAGAAATTCTTTAGGTTCTTTTCATTTGTCCATTTGCTCCCCAACTGTGCTACTTGTTCTGAATTGTTTTCTAACGGTATGGTTTTTGCCATAGGTATTTTTATAACTTAGAAATTTCTACTCTTGGGAAGTATATAAAATATATATTACCACTGCTTTGCTGTCAGATCAAGTCCACTGGCATTTTGTTTCAAATACTTCAGTATATTCATAAGAATTAGATTGTCATTGAATTGTCTTATGCTTTAGTAAATAAAAACTGCATATTAGCATAGTTATATTCTTTTGCTTTGATTTAAGGATGCAGTACGAGAGATTCAATTATTTGATTCTAACTACAGTCACTTATTTCATATGAACGTACATAAGTAAAGTGCTGACTTTTATTTTAGAGAGGAACATGCGCATGATCCAGATTCAGGAGAATATGGCAGAACAGAAGACAATTAAGGATAAACTGGAGAATGAACAAGAAAAACTTCATGTAGAATATAACAAGGTAAGAAATATTCTTCAAGCCATGTAAAATTTATATGAGATAATTAATTCTTAAAACATAGCAGAAATTAAATTCAATACTTTGACCCATCATTGAATATCACCCTTCTCCCACACAAAAATTTGAAGTTAAGCTCAATGTTCCAGTGGTTTTCATTCACAACTCAGTAACTTATTGAAAAGCATTTCTCATATATTGGATTCTTGTACTTATCTTTGATTATTTTCAATGACTGCAACCAAGATCTGTCATTGGCATAGGCACTGTCAAAGAACATAAGGTAATTTCAAGAGCATTTTTATTCCTTATTTGTAACTACTAGACTACAGTAGAGTCCAGGACCCACAGAGTCAGTGCTGTCTGTCAGACTCTTTGTTGGCAGCAGCTACCCATGCTTCTAGGAAACAGTAGTAACTCAGCAGTTTATGAGACTTACATTTGCATTATAATCTCCAAACCTCTGCTACAATGTTGAAGGCATGTAACATAAAATTTAAATAAGTAATTGTTTAAATACAAGATTGTTTAAATATATATTCAAATATAGAACTTAGCCATGATAGATAAAAATTACTGTTTACTCTGGCTTTTAACATGCCATGACTGTGTGAATATGTCCCTATTTGTTAGAATTGTCTAAAAATAGGAAATAGTCAGGAATGGAAAATGTTGTTTCAAGTTAAACCTAGAGAACTTAATGTGATTTTATATTTTTTTCCTCAAGTGTGCAGATTCGCTGTACTGAAGTTTTCATTCCCAGTATAGAAACATTTGGTGTTTTTTTACAGATGGAAAAAACAGAGTGGAACTGTTATGAGGTTTCTTACTGCCATTATAATTTTATTGTCAGATAAAATTATTTATGTTCTTTTTTTACTAAGCAGATGGATGCCCATGTTTTCTTTCTGGAGTTATGAATGGTTGATTAACTTTACTGCTTTCACTTGCATTGACATAAAAGAACAACTTTATTATTTAAATATTTATGTAGAAAAGATATTGTAAGTAAAGAATGCCTCCTCCTGGAGAAGAGATGCTAAATAATTTCTGCATTTTTTGTGTGACTTTATTTTTCAGTTATGTGAATCTTTAGAAGACCTTCAGAATATGAATTCAAAGCTGCGAAATGAAGGGCAAGGAATGTGGGCTCTTCTAGGAAGAATTATTGGACAGGTTGGTCTCTCCACTCTTTCCCCCCTTTTAAATATTTTTTAGATCACATGATTCATAAGAATATGTTTTTCTGTTTTTTACTGTCACTTGGTGGGTGGAAAGATACATTTGATAATGTCCTGGCCTTTCTCCTGGAGGTAATGATTTCTGATTGAAATATATTTCGGGCTCCACCAGGTACTTACTAGGAACCTGTACTTTAATTTTGTTTTTGTTTTAGCTATCTTGTTTGCAAAATTCTTTCATTTGCTATAACTGATTGACCTGTCATTTGTGATGAAGCTAAACCTGAAGCATGAGTTAATCTAACCGTTCTTGCTGTCTTTTGTTTTTGTTTTTGACTCATAGCAATTGAAGCTTCCAGACGAGCAATTTTTGTTGGAGTAGATTGTTTTCTAGAGCTGCTTTTTGTGAATATACTACACCAACAATATTTTAAAATTATGTATATATAAATATTCCTTTTCTTTTTAAGGAAACAGTATTCTAAAGCACCAGTGGCTTTTTATAGTAGTAATAGCTGATTATCTCACCCCATCATTTCTATATTAACTGTGTTATAACACATTTTTAATGAGAGGGTTTCAATATTTAATTTTATTGTATATTTAGCAACATTTAAAGAGACAAGAACCTTCTTTCCCAGTTATTTATCTATTTTCCTTCTCATTTCCATTTTTTTAAAATTTCTAAATGTTAGAATTTATACTTAATGTAATTGGCTACATTTGCTACAAATACTAATTTCTGTGGCTTTCTGTTTAGTATTTCTCATTTTAGTATTCATAAAATTAAAAGTATTGAATCAGTTAACAGAGTTCTTAAGAAAATAGATACAAACACAATTGTGTGATTTTTCAACATGAAAAGGTCTTGGTTTTTTTATACAGGTCATTATTAATGATATTTTTTTATAAAATAAAGTGATGACTTGAAAAAAATTAGACCACTGGCCAGGAATAGTATTATAACTAGCCTAAGGATTTAACAGTGTACACTTAAATGCTTATATAGATCTGCTAAGCTGGCTGGTATATTTACTCTAATATGGTTTACTAGAAATCTATTACCATAAGCATAAGTTTCTTAATAAGAAATTTTGCTACTTTAAAAATAAAATAAAAATTACAAATGTGTTTACTGGTGCTATTATTTAATAATGATAATAAAAAGTAGTAGTTTCATTTGCATAGCTTGCATGACACCTTTTTCCAGTTGGTTGAACAGATGCAGCCCCTCAGGGCCCCTGAGAAATGACTTTGATAGATGGTTGCTGTCTGTGAAGCTAGCATACTGCAGATTAGTAGAAACCCGAAGAGAATCTCTGCTGCTTTGTGGAGAGTTTGGTCCAATAAGATAATTTTTCTAATTAACCTATGGAGCACACAGTAGCAGAGATGCTGAGAAAAATAAACTGCTTCGATATTATTTTGTGAAGTGTAGTAGATTTTTCTTTTTTCTTTTAACCTTCTAAACCAGCTTGTCCTTGCCTATTTCTTTTAAAGCTTTCTCCGTTAAAGGGGGGAAAAGTTAAAAAGGCAGAGCCTTATGTCTCTGGCTTGTTTTTTCTATTGCATTGAGAAATATGTGAATGCAGTTTCAATTCTCAGAAAAATTTGGAGATGGAAAATATAACATGGTCACATTTGTGACTTGACAGTTTTTTTCAGACATCTCTTCCAGTCAGACCTCTGACTGGGAAATATAAGGATATGTTCATTATATATTTGTCTTACCAATATTCCTATATTTCCTCAAACCCCACAGAAACTAAATATACCAGCAATTTTGCGAGCACCCAAGGAGAGAAAGCCCAGTAAAAAGGAAGGTGGAACTCATAAGACTACAACCCTTCCAGCAGTACTTTATAGGCAAGTAGCAGCAATACTCTCTTGTGCTCATTAGAAGAGCAAAGTGCATAATTGAAAAATCATAAATTTGAGGTTGAAAAAAGAAAAACTTTTCTGTTCTCTCCCCCTTCACTTCTTTCCTAACAACTTGGTTGATTAAGGGACTTAGAAAATAGAAGAATTACAATATTAGTGCCTTGGGTTAATAATTCATCTCAGGCTGATATGGCCAATACTGCTTTTAACAAATTTCAATTTCAGTCAACTGAATATATTTTTTTTTCTTCCATTGCTTTCCATTTCTAGATGCTACAATTTGCTATCTAACTTGACTGTTTGTTTTTGTTTTTTTATTTATAGTTAAAGCTTGGCTATAAACTACTGATTGACTCCACTTTGAAAGCAAATGTATTTTATACCTGAATTATTCAAATTCATTTTTATTAAAATTTTCAGAACAAACTATCATAGAAAAGACTGAACAGAATTGCTGTGGATTTCATATCTAATCTTCCTTTTACGTAATATATATAATTATTAACCTAGATATTTATTGTTACACATACATAATTCATTTTATTATCTGGTTCCCTAATTAGTATTTAAAGGCACTCCTTGGGTAAACTCAAGACTAAAGATGAGAAATGGAAGAAAACAATCTTTCTGTATTGTTATTAAGAAAATGATGTAAAAGCCACTATGAGTTAAGCTTTACATAAAGAGTTTACTTTATACCTATATATTTAACTATATAAGAATTGATATTCAACACTTATGAACAAGTATTAGGAATATAATACATGTTTTATAGATTCCTTTCCACAAACTGGGGTCTGTCAGTAGTTTGCTTGATATTTTCAGAAAGTAGTCACCATCTGCTCCTGGCTGTTTTCAACATTTTATAATAAAATGATTTAACTACTAAATCTCTAAATAGTTATTTTTTATCGCTAATAGCTATTAATATAGTTATCCTCCTAAATTATGTATTTATTAATGTACTCACTCATTGACTTATTTTCTTAGAAATGTGTCTTAGTGAATCTATATTGATTCACTTATTTCCTGGCAATATGACTAAAATTAAAAACAGTCCAAAGTTAGCTTGGATTTGAAATTAGTCTTATATTTTTAAAATTTCAAGATAGTAACTAACCTTTAAAATGCCCTGGTAAATAAGAATATTTTAATTATCTGCTTAAGATCTTCTGCATATGCATAAGGATCTCTGGATTCTACCCCATATTAATTTTGAGACAGCTTAGCAAAGTATTTGCATTTTCTCAAATGAAACTTTTCCTGCATTTCCAAGTTGTGGGATTTGCAAGAAGAACCATGATCAGCACCTCCTTTTGCTGTGTGATACTTGTAAACTCCATTATCACCTTGGATGTCTGGACCCTCCACTTTCAAGAATGCCAAGGAAGACTAAAAACAGTTACTGGTAAGAATATTATAAATATATCCTCCTATTTCCTTTGGGATTAAGAAATAAGATCATGCACCTACTATATAGGAATCTGAAGGTTTTTCATGCAAAGTTTTTAATTTAGATCTTACTGGAAAGTTTTTCAAATGTTCTTATATGCTTTTTGTTCCCATAGCGGTGCTGATGCTTGAAATTTTGCAAAACAGGTCCCTTCTTTTATAAACTTTATTGCTTATAGGGTTTTTTAAAAGGAGGGTTTTTTAAAAAAAATTATGCTGAACTAATGTAAACAAATCACTGATTTCTTTTCATAGAAGTTAATTTTTATAACTTTAAATGATGAGGTTTATTGAAATTTACAGATACAAAAATAAAAAGTTATATAAACTAAAAATATTGATAAAAAACAATACAAACGTAGAATATAAAAAGTAAAAAAAGTACAGAGAAAATAAATAAAAGTAATAAAGCTATATAAAGAGATTATTTTTCCTTCATCAAATCAAGTACAAACAATTTAAATAATTTATTTGCTTTACTTTCATGTAAATATGGGAAGACAAAATCATCTCATATCTCATTTCCTATTTATAAACATATATACAATATGTATGAGTCCTTGATAAAGATGTATTACCTGAGGATTGGCCCCTACTGCCCTGTCAAAAGTTGCCATTTCTAACTTTTACTACAGAGGGAAAATATTAAATATATAAAGGTAGTCACAATAAATTATTTTGTAATAGATCTACTTACATTTTGAAGCATAAAGACTAGCATATCAAGTGCAGCTCTCAATGCAGAGAACTGAGCAAATACAGAGTTATTTTATAGGTGATGATGACAACTTCAATTTTAAATATTTAATAACACATATTTTTCAAAAGCAGCTGCTTTTGTTAGTGTTGCTGTTACCTGTCACTGAAAAACAATAGGAAAGTTCAAAGTAACAAAGCAGATGAATAACTCTATGTTTAATCTTAGTATTCAACCAGCTAACTGGCATTTTGTGGTCCTTAGTTGTAATTTTTAAAAGCAGTTTTTAAATTCACATACGTTTAATGGTATTTTAATACTAATTTCTATTGATCTGGCTTTTGTTCTAATGTTCTGGCTAATCTGTTTCTAGAAGAAATCTGGACTCAATGCAGCATCAACCTTCTTGCTATATTTTAGCAGAGGGCAGTGTTTGAAGGGTGGGTCTGCAATGCAGTTTCGTGATATTATGGAAAACTCGAGCATGCCATTCAGTGATGTGGTATTGTCATCAGGTGTGGCAGGGATGATTATATATTTCTCTTTTTTTTTTCCCCCTTTTTGGGAGATTTTGGGGGTGACAGAAAATCTTTCAGAAATAAACCCTGAAAAATAGGCTGAAATAATGAGGTAGAGAGTTGTATAAAGTTCCAGAAGTGTCTTTCATTTTAAAGTTATTCATCTTTCAATGCAGAGGTTATAAATAAGAACCACTGACATGAAGATCAAACTCATTTAGACTAACTCCATCAATTGTACTATTTTTTGCTGTGATGGAATTTTTAAGACTCCACCCTATATTACTTTATTGGGAGATAGGTGGATAGTGACATAAAAATTAGTAGTAAATAATAAATAAATAGATACTTGATAGATATCACATTGAATTATTCCTAATACATTGTAGGATTGAATGTATATATATGCAACTATTGTATGCCATCTAGAATTTTTTTTAATGTTTTCGTTCAGTGATCAGATTAAATTGCATAGTAATTCACTGATTTTATTCTGCCTTTTAGTCATACTGAAAAAAATATTTTAAAAGCCATACTATCAAGAAGAAATAAACTAACATCCCAGTGGTAAAAAGTCATAGACGTAGAAGGATTTTACTTCCAAAAATCTATGTAGTTGCTACAATTTCATGCTTCAGCTACATTTGTGATCACAAGCTTGGCTTTCACTTTTAATTTAACTAAGGTATATTCAGTGTGATGGGATTATAACAGAGAAATTGAGACTTATTGATTACATCCGTTTCATCTTTAAATGTGTCTTTGTCGATTCTTTTCAAAATCAAAAGAAATAGTATAGAAAGTTCTGCATTAGAAATGTGAAGTTCCATAAAACAATATCCCTGCTACTTACAATGCTGTTTCTATTTCATATGTCTTTTATTTATGATTGGAAGGTCATATTTCTGTGAGAAAGAAGAAGATATACATAAATTCTTATTTATTTTATTTTTTTATTGCTGGAATTGTATTAAAGTGTACAATAATACTTATTGGATAATAATACTTCTTATATTGGAAAGGTGCATTTATTATCTGTTGTAAAACATTCACTTTGGAAAGCTAATGGTTTTCTAATGGATTTTTTTATAGAATACTTTTGCAGCTCAAAGAATTATAGAGCGTATGCATGGGAAGGATATAGCCAGCAACTCACATTAGTTTGGATTTCAGCTGACATAATTTTTCAGCCTGCATTCCATTGCCAGTCAGGTCTTGATATTGAAATCCACCAATTCATGTTGGGAATCTAGCTTACTTTACCTATTCAAAAACTAAACTTAAACTTGTCTAAGGGATATTGCAAGGGGTACTGCTAGGGAATACTAATGAGATAGACTGGGAAGTTGAAAAATATCTTGAAAGAAGAAAATAGCAAAGTACTTTAGTATTGCTGCCAAGAAAACTGAATGAATATGTTCATGAAACCACCAAAAATTGAATTAACTTGAATAGACTTATTCCTTAAGATACTTGATCTGAAGTTAACTGTTACAAAAGTGATGAATATTGGTTGCATTTGTGTCTCTGCTTTAGGTTTGTCCTTTGGATTTTTAAAACACTTGATATAGAAAAGAAAATTACAGGCATACTATTGGAGTTATGATCGTTTCTCCTAAGATTCTGCATTTTTAAAAAAATTAAATAGTACATTAAAATAAAGTTTCCATTTAAACAAAGACATTTTGTATGGGAAGACATCTTAATGTCAGAACCTATTAGCTTTGTAGCTCTGTTTGTACTATTACAGAAATATCTTTCAATTAATAACATCCAAGTAATTTATGTTATGTAAGTACACAAGAAATGTTTATGTTAACTTTCTGTTAATTGTTATCTCTCAGGTTTTTTTTTTCAGGAGACTCTAGGTTTATAGTAAACTTCCTTTCCTCCTTTTGAAAAATGTGTGTTTTACATTTGGGATTCTTGCCATCTTTAATTTGAAGTGATTAATTGACACCCCAAAGACACCCAAAGTGATTCAGCTCATCTTTCTCCAAGAGATCAAATTCATTATGGGAGATATTATTTGTAAGAACTTGTAGTAATGAAAAAAGAGATCATATACCAATATCCTCTATACAAATAAAGAAAGCCGGATGGGGATGGGGATGAAATATTTGGCCCATGTGCTTTTTTCACGTGCATTAAAATCCGTACATGTGAAAAACATACCACTGTTCCCTTTCCATCTGTATGTGGGTTCTTTTGTTTTCTAAACATAATCTTTTTAAGAAACTTATTTCCCCAACCTATATGCTTTTGCTTTGGAAGCTGCTGAATTCAGTTTGAATTTCTATATATGTTGTCTTTCCAGGCAGTGTTCAGAATGCGACCAAGCAGGTAGCAGTGACATGGAAGCAGACATTGCCATGGAAACTTTACCAGATGGAACTAAGCGATCAAGGAGGCAGATTAAGGAGCCAGTAAAATTTGTTCCACAGGATGTACCTCCAGAACCAAAGAAGATTCCTGTCAGAAACACGGTAAATGACAGCCGAGGCAGAATACACATATATAAGCCTTTTTGTTTTAATGCAAAACTTAAAGTGCCAAGTATCTCACTATGAAAAATTATAGCTGCTTAAAAATAATAACTTATTCTAGATTTTAGTATAACATATAAAACAGTTTGGGATCAGAAACTGGTTTAACCATGAAAAGTAAAATAAATTTTGAATTTTTTTCCCCCTTACATTTATTTCATATTATTATATATTGTGCAAATTGTTTTCTTTTTTGAACATATAAGCATATTGGAATTTAAAACATTTAAGTAGACAAAAATGATCCCTATGAATTCATGCAGTAAGTAATAAATGATCTTATTTTATGTTTGAATGCGTAACTCTCACCCTTCATGTGAAGATAGATTTTGATGTGACAGTGTTGTAGAACAAGAATTTTCTCATTGTGCATTCTAAAATGTCACATATTCGAACTATGCCACGTGAATATCTACAATTCAAATATAGTGAAAAGCTTTCAAGTCTCTTGCTGATAGAATATTTCTGTTTTTTGACTTAGTTGAGTCAATAGTGGTTATACACCTTTGCTAGTGAATGAAATCATTTCAGAATGATTTGTTTATGAGATGGTTCTTCCTCACCTATTTACTAATATTAACATATTTTGCTTGATCTATGCAATTCATGGAGCTAACAGTTGTCTTTCTTTATCAATGATGCTGAATTGCTTGATACTACGTTATAACTACAGATAAACAACATTTAGTGGTTGTAATTTTTCTTATTTTAAATAAACTTTAAATGAAACATAATATATAATGAAATATATAAAACCAATATAGAAGGAAATTATATATTTATCCAGTAATTTTGTCTCATAGCAACATATTTTATATGTTTAACCTATTTTTAATGAGGTCTTGCCTTATTTGGTTGTCAAAGTTAGACAATAAACTCAAGTCCCTTAAATCCCTCATTCTAGGATATTTCTGTGGTTTGCTGCCTTGACAAGATTAACTTTCTTTGTGTAGTCTGTGGCCTGCTATGGGTAATTAAGTGCTGTTTTATAGAAAATGTTCTCTGTACAGTACTATCTTCCATTGCCTTCATTAATGTATAGTAACATTCTGTGTTACTGTTTAAAATAGAGAATATTGTTCAAGAAATAAGCACGTTGTATTCTATTTTTTTCTGGCTCCTCTTTAAAAATTCAAAGAATTAATTTTGTCCAGGCTTAATAATAAATATTATCCCAAATACTGTTACAGGACAGAGGTATGGTTCAACTGCAGTTTCCCTAGAATTATTGCAATCTGGTCTTGGCAGAATGTGGAATATGAATACCTTGTTTGGGTTCATACATTATTATAACACAGATCATATTATGTGTATTATTCCTGATTACTGAATTATAGTACTCATGCTGCATCATGCTACCAAATATATTAGCTTGAATTTAAGCCAGATATAACTTTCATTGGCATCCCTTTTCTCCGAGGTGAAGAAACGCCAGTCAGGCTGGGTAATCGGCTCCTTTATCCAGTGATGACCGGGTCTGCACTAATTTGAATAGCTCCGCCCTCTTCCCCAGTGTTTCGACTCGGTCCTTGACTGGATAGTCGTGTCTTCAGCTCTCGCTTGCTATTTCTACTAAATTACAACTAAATTTCAGCTAAACTTCATCTAATTGGTATCTGGCTATATTTAATCAACTGCTTCCTGGTTGGAGGCTTCCTGGATTGCCGCTAGCCGGGGCTCCGGCTTGGAATCTGTCGGCTGACAGATTCCCTCATTTGCGGCAAATTCCTGCCTCCTTTACTCGGCGCTGCATTTCAAAGGCGATTAGCCCAGCAGCCACCCTTTGTTTACGATCGGCAAGCTCCCTGGAAAACATCGCAGTAATAGCCTCGAGCTAGCGATCCTGCTTAATTGCTTGCCTGAACGCTGCAGAGCATAGCTACGGAGCAGAGCCTTTCGTCTGTAAGTTTCTGGGGCGGTTTATTTTTGGCGCGCTTGGGACGGCGGCCATTTTAAAGGGGCATAACTTAATTCGGGCTATGGCTGATAAGCAAAGAGGCCGCAATCGCTCTCGCAAGCCCTCCTCCGATCCTCTAGAAGGGCCTTCAAGCCTGGCCATGCCATCAAGGGCTCATAAGGCCAGTAAGACCTCCTCATCCCAGGCCACGCCAGCGTCTTCTAGAGAGGAGCAGCGGCGCCACAAGGCCATGGAGAAGGCCTTTAACAGGGCTTCCTCCAGAACAAGGCCCACTTCACCTGATCGCCTCCCTCCACAGGCCTCATCTTCAGGGCTGGCAGTCCAAGACGAAGCCCGTAGTGTCAGAAGCCTTTCTCCTGATCGCCCAGCCCCCTTGGAACCTGCCCTTCCCCTGGGCAAGGAGCCTCTTTTCCAGACTGAGGCTGGTTCTGTTCCTTCACCCACCCCTCTGCAATCCTCCCAATTGCCTGCTCCAGCAGCTCCTTCATTTCCTCAGGATCCGATCCCTCTTCTCCCAGAGGCGTTTGAAGCCCTCCTCATCAGGGCTATGCGCCAAGGCTTTACCCAATGCCTCCAACAGGCAGGCCTTCAGTCTCCTAACCCAGCTCCAGTCCTCCAATCCACAGGAGACCTTCGCCATCTTCCTGAAGCTGATCCTTCTTCGGACATGGATCAGGATGATTTAGAGCTGGCTGCGGAAGAAGCAGCTGTCTCCGAGCCCGAGGAGGCCCCCGACTCCGCTCTATCTGAGGATGAGGGTCTGAGCCCAGATAAGTCTCCCTTCATAGGCCTTTTCCGCCCTCAGATGTTCCGCTCTCTTTTATTTAAGGCCATTGCTACCACCCGACTTGGCGAGGTTCCCCTTCCAGAGTCCTCATCTTCCACTGCTGATCCTGCTTCGGCCTTGTTTGCTGAGCCGACTGTGGCCCCTGAAACCATTCCAGCACCAAAGCTGTTTCTGGATGTTCTTCGTCGCCAATGGTCCTTGCCTGGGGCTGGTCCAAGCCCAAACTATCTAGACAAGCGCCTCTACAACGCGGCTCCTACAATGTCTGACCTCCTTCAGCCTCCCACTGTCGACGCTCCAATCGTGGCTTTGGCTAACCCATCACATCCTACAGGACCGCCAGAGGATGTTCTCCGCCCTAAGGACAAGCGCGCAGAAAAGACGCTGATCAAGGGCCATCTCGCAGCTGCCTGGTCTATTAAATCATCCTCTGCGGCCTCATTCTTCAACAGGGCCGCACTCCTCTGGATCAAACAACTCCGGGACCACTTACCTCACACTGATTCCAGGGTTCAACAAGACATCAACAAAATTACAGCTGCCCTAGAATACTCGGCAGACGCAACCCTGAATGCTACCCGTTTTGCTGCAAAGGCTCTGAGTTCCTCTGTCACTTCACGCCGCCTCTTATGGCTTAGGAACTGGCAGGCGGACATGCGCTGCAAGTGGCAGTTACCATCCTCCCCTTACTCACCCGGAAATCTCTTTGGACCGTCCTTGGAACCTCTCCTGGTCGAGACACGGGATCGACGCAAGATCCTCCCTTCCCAACATCGACGTTCCGACTCCCGCTACTCACCTTATCCTCGCCTCCAGTCCTTTCGGACATCTGATTCCTCCTTCCAGTCCCGCTTCCAGCGTCCGTTCCAGCCAAGATCATCCCAGCCCGACAATCAGGTCAGATCGGGGGGTCGGTTCCCACCTAGGCGCTCCTATCGGGGGGGTCGGGGTCGTTTTTCCCAGAGAGGTAGATAGATTCAAGGGGGATCCTCCAATTGGGGGCCGCCTCTCCCTTTTTTATGACCAATGGCGGTCTTCCATTTCTGACGCTTGGGTTTTGTCTTCTACAAACTCAGGCCTTCTGTTAGAATTTTCTTCTCCTCCCCCCTCCCTCTTTCTTTCCTGCCCTCTCTCTAAGGATCCAGTTAAACAAGCTCTGGTTTCCTCTGCTATAACCCATCTCTTATCTATCAGGGCAGTCCAACCCGTTCCCCCTGACCAGCGCGGACGGGGTTTTTACTCCCGCCTCTTCATTGTAAAGAAGGCATCGGGAGGCTGGCGAGCCATTTTAGATCTCAAAGCCTTGAACCGGTACATAACTTACCGCCGGTTCAAGATGCACACGTTGTTTTCTATTCTAGAATGCCTTAGACCTGGTGACTTTCTTTCCTCCATAGACCTCACAGAGGCCTACCTCCATATTCTTATTCACCCTTCTCACCGCCAGTTTCTCCGCTTCCACTACATGGGTTTCCATTACCAGTACCAGGCCCTACCCTTTGGTCTGTCTTCAGCCCCTAGGGTCTTTACTAAGATTATGGCCTCCCTAATTGGCCATATTCGTTCTCTCCCTATTCGCTTACAATTTTATTTGGATGACATTTTAGTTATGTCTTCCTCTATCTCCTCTGCACACTCTGACCTTTCTACTGTCCTAAACCTCTTGCAAAGTCATGGTTTTTCTGTAAATTGGGCTAAGAGCCATCTCTCCCCATCTACTCGTATTGTCCATCTTGGGGCGTCTATTGATACCCTCTCGTCCCAGGTATTCCTTTCTCCCGACCGTCAGGCCAGTCTCAAAGCCTCGGCCGATCTGTGCATTACACAGAAATCAGCGTCCCTCCTAAGGTTATCCGGCCTCCTTGGTAAGATGGTCTCCACCTTTGGGATTGTCCCATGGGCCCGGTTGCACAGTAGGGAGCTCCAGTGGCTTCTCCTTCCCCATCAACGAGCGGGTCGAAGTTCTTCACGGTCCTGTATTCGCCTGCCTCGATTAGTCATCTCTTCCCTCAGATGGTGGACTTCGGACGCTATCTCCAAAGGCTCATTTTTCAGAGAACCTCCTCGTCTGATCCTCACAACGGACGCCAGCTTGACAGGTTGGGGGGCCCATCTTCTTCATCACATGGCCCAGGGTCAGTGGTCCCGGCTAGAACGCCGCAACAACATCAATTACCTAGAACTGCGTGCGGTTCGACTAGCTCTCCTTCGGTTCCAACCTCTTGTAGAGGGCAA